CACAGGGGTCACACCCTTCCCGAATGGGAGGCGTGTCCCCAGGGCTCCCCCTTCCCAGGCTCCATCATCTGCTGGCTGCGCCAAAGAGTGTGTGGGGGGAGGGGCACATGAGGCTGGGGTGTCCCGAGGGGCCCGGGCTCCATTCTAAGACTTCGAGCCTGGTCTCCCTAGAGAGGCACAGCCTCACCCCGACTGCCCAAGATCCGGACCCAGTGCCTCGGCCTCCACTTTCAGAGGCTGAATGGGGACAGAGCAGTCCCCCAGAACCCCTGGCTCCCCAAGTCCCTCTCTGGCAGGGTGTCCCCTCAGGGACCTCATTGGAGGTGGCAGGAAGGCACAGGCAGGAGGCCCAGAGGTGGCAGCTTGGCCTGGGGCTGTGTGGAGGCCGCGGGTCACATCGGCCAGGACCGCTGTGGGCTAGAGCCACCTTGTGGAGCTGCCGCCACGTGAGAGGCCCTCGTGCAGGGAGAAGCGGGAACATCCGTGTTTCTCCTACCAGGCATGGGTGCACGGCTCAGTGGTTTAGGGGTGTGGGGTGTGGTGATGGGACGGGGGACCCCTGACCCTCTCTTTCCAGTGAAAGACAACTCAGGAGGAACACGTGACGACACAGCGCGTCCTGGGCCCATGACTGCGGGTGGAGGGTGGGCGGGCGCTGTGAGGGCCAGGCTGTGGGTGTCCGGTGCAGAGGCAGGGCCGGGGTCTGGGGGGCCGGGCGGTTCACATGATGGAGCAGCATTTACAGCGCTGCTTCTTCATGTCTAGGTCCTGGGCGTCACTGGCGGGGGCCTCAGGCCCCACCTGGTTCTCCTCTCTGGAGCCCTCAGTGGCAGGGGGCTCAGCCGCACTGCCGTTGGGTGGGGCGGGCTCCTGGGGCTCAGCAGCGTCTTCGATGACCACCAGCTCCGCGGTGATGGTGTCCTGCAAGCCCAGCGCCTTCTGGGTCTCGGCCTCATCTTCCACGCTCTGGTAGCCCATGAAGATCATGGTGACTGGGGGCTCCTGGCCGGGCTGGATGCCTGGCGGGCCCGACGTGGCCTCTCCCGGCTGGGCCTGAACTCCTGTGATCTCCCGCCTGGCGGGCGTGGTCCGGATGGCCTCCTCCAACGGTGGTCCCCGGGGCTCCACTGGCCCTGCCGCGGACCCCGCTTCGCTCAGCGTGACCTCGTCTGCCTTGTGGATGAGTTCGTCCACCTCAGAGGAGCTCAGGGGGTGGATCCCATTCTCCGCAGTGCCATCCACGGCATGGACCACTGGCAGGGGGAGGTGGGGTGGGGAAGAGAGAGAGAGACAGAGAGACAGAGAGAGAGAGAGAGAATGAGTTGGTTCCCAGACAGAAGGGAAAGGCTGGTAGGGCTGAGAGCCATCCCTTGGCAAAAGGAAAATCATAAACCAAATTGCACCTTTAGAACTGACTGACAATTAGAACTCCTACTGGGATCTGCGGATGCAGACAAATTGATGCACAGAGGAAAATTTACAGGAACCAAGAAGGAAAAAATGAACTCATTTTTCATTGTCTTGCATCTTGAAGCATCTTCATATTCCCCAGCCAACTGGCACCCACCTGATCACCCTACAAAGTAAGTCTGTTTTTTTGCTGTTGCAAAGATGGTGAAAATGGAGTTCACAGAAGGGAAGTAACTAGCCCAAGGTCACACAGCTGGCCTGGGCTGGACCCTGCTCTTTCTCCCAGTCTAAGCATGTTTCCCTTCATGAGGAATTGCAGGGATTCTGATTCCCCCTCTCATTGAGTTCCTGTAGATAACCTTCAATTAAACTTTAGTTCATCCACCCAGTCTTTGTTTTCTAGTAAACACCCTGAAGGCTATACCTTTTCCTCTGAATTCGGCTTTGGCTGCAGCTCATGGATTACTGTATGTCATTCTCTTTCAAGTGTAGTTTATAATTTCCATTTTGATATTTTGATTGATTGCTTCTTTAAGTCAAGATTTATTTAGAAGAGTGTTTCTAACTTGAGGAGAGTGGGGGTCTGTGGTCCAGGAACACAGACGTAAGATATAAACTTCATAACAGGATATAGTCACTTTCTGAAAATGCTCTAATTGTGTTTACGAAAATAACGTGCATTCTCCATTGGGCAGAGTTTTATACATGCAATCAAACTTGTTAAGCAGTATTTTCCAAATCTCTCCAGCTTTTGTCATCTGTGTCTCTCTGAGTGGTCATTTTCTAAGCTGAAGTGCAGTCTCTAAGGACTGGACTTCAGCATCTGGGAGGAGTCCCGGCCACAGTCCAACGCCAGCCCCAGATCACAGCCTGGCTAACTCCTTCTAGAAACACTGCTTCCCAGTTGCTTAGGGAGGGAGGGAGGGAGGGAGAGACACACCAGATGCCCCAGGGCCTCATCTCCTCCCGGGCCAAGGGTCAGGGCTCCGGCTTCTGGCCAGAAAGAAAGTGCTTTCCACTCTCAGTTTCCATATTCCTGGAGAGGGGTGCCCACGCTTCAAGGTCTTGTGGTGACTTTGAACTGGAGGCCCAGGTGTGGTTGTGCCTGGGTCACAAAGAATCAAGCTAGGTATTTCCCACTGGCCACTGCCTCAGCGTAGGAATCTGAGCCCTTGGCTGCCATGGAAACGGATCACTTTCCCACTACTAAGCAACCAGAGGCCAGTCTGGTCAGGTCCTGAATCCCTAGGGGTTAGGCCAGGCTGGGCTCAGTGGCCAAGGTGAGGACATTCTGTGAGCACAGGGATCCTCTGCCCCTTGGCCCTGTGCTGTCATCGGGGCAGTTGGGACTTGCCCAGAACCACATAGCTGGTGAGAGCTGGAGCCAGGATTCCACCTGGGTCGACAGCCCCAAGCCACAACAGGGCTGGGCTGTGACAGGACCCCTCTAGTAGCATTCTGGATGTCCCAGAGGCCTGAACAACCTCTTTGGAAATCAAAACCACAACGAGGTATCACTTCAACCCCACCAGGATGACAATAATAATAATAACAACTTTTAAATGTTCAATAACAAGGGTTGTTGAGGATGTGGAGAAATCGAAACCCTCATGCATGGCTGGTGGGAAAGGAAAATGATACAGCCACTGCAGAAACACCCCAGAAGTTCCTCAAATGGTTAAACATAGAGTCACCATGACTCAGCAATTTGACTCCTAGGTATTAACCAAGAGAAATAAAAACATACGCCCACACAAAAACTTGTATAGCACAAAACCGAAAAGTAGAAACATCCGACATGTCTATCAACTGATGCCTGGATAAACAAAATGTGGTCCATCCTCACACGGGAAGTTCACTCAGCCGTGAAAAAGAGAAACACACTGGCACTGGCTACCATGTGGATGGACCTGGAGGACTGATGCTCAGTGAGAGCCAGACACACAAGGCACACAGTGTGTGAGTCCAGTGATGTGAGACATCCAGAACAGGCCAGTCCACAGAGATGGAGTGTGGGTTCAAGGTTACCATGATGGGGACAGGAAAGGATGCAGTTTCTACTTGGGGAAGAAAAATATTCTGGAACCAGATAGTGAGGGTGTACAACATGGTGAATATTTCAAAACCCACTGAATTGGGTGGGGGTCCTGCATCTTCTCCCTTCTTCTTCCATCTTCTCATGAGGGTGGCACTCCTGGACTCACTAATGGACCCTAAAGCTGAGCTGTGTTAATTTTACACCTGACTCAGGGGATCAGTGCTGGGGACTCCATGTCTTGAAGAAAGCCAATACTTGCCTTTATTCCAAATGTCCTTTTAATGTCTTCTTAACACACTGTCTTTACTAAGGTGGGTTCATTCCTTTTTCTAGCATCACTGTGAATATTGCCCAGAATAGACAGAATACTATCCTACAGGCCATGCCAGAAATGAACAAAAGTTTAAATGCCACAATGTTTATGAGACCATTTAAATACTGATGGACTGCATGGTTTAAAGGAAACTTTTCCTTCGTTTAAAAAAGTGGATTTTACCTTACGTGAATTACATTGAGAGAGACAGAGAGAGGAAGCGGGGAGAGAGGCAGGCACTTTGGAACTTCTCCCCAGGGCTGCCCTCTCCTCCTGTCTCCACCTTCCTTGTGTGGGTGTTTCCTCACTGGAAGAGGGGACTCTAAAAACCAGATTAGACCTCAGCACCAAGGCCCTTGCCACCCTGGCCAAGATCGCTGTCCCCACCCCTCCACTCTGCATCAGCCCCAAGGGCTCTTCTCGCCACCCCCTCCCGAAGCCCAGCAAACTCCATCCCACCTCAGGGCCTTTGCACGTGCTGTCCTCACCCAGGTGTGCTGGTACCCACACCCACCGTGTGTCTGTTCACCTCCTCTGTGGAGCCTTCCCTGTCCCCTCCCTGCCCTGCTGGATCCTGTCTCGGCCCTCTCTGCATCTCTGGGTTTTGTTTTTTTTTTTGGAGTCTTTATCACAACAGCAATTATTTAAATGAGTAGTCTGTGAGGTTGGGATTGAAGGGCTGGCTGGCTGGGAAGTTCCCAGGACTGAGTGCCTCTGGCTCAGGATTTGCCCCTGCAGCCCAGCTAGCGCTGGCCAGGCCCCTAGGTAGTTTCCCAGATGGAGGGAGGCTGGTCTGCAGGTCCGTGGGCTGTGGGATGAGACCCAGCCCTGGACGGTGCCCCATCAAACCAGCGTGGGTCCGCGCTGGCCAGGCGGGAGAGGGGCGCGTACCTTTGGTCTCGTCCTCGTAGACCTTGACGCCCTGAGGGAGGCGCTCCCGGGGGAGCACGGTGGCGCTGGACAGCACCCGCGTCTCCCCAGTCACCTTGTCCTTCTCCACCGTGATCTCCACCGAGTACATGGCTGGCACGAGAGGCACCGGTTACGCTGCGGCCCACCTGCCCACGTGCCCCCCAACGGGCTGCAGCCAAGCCAGGGAGGGGAGCTGGCAGCACAGAGCCAAGCAGCGGGTGCCCTCAATGCAGCCCTCCCCAGCTCAGCGCCCGTCCATGGCTCCCGAGTGCCACGGGCGTGGGGTCTGAATCGCTCTGCTCGGCCTCCAAGGCCCCCTGGTAGCCCCACTCGGTCTGCAAAGCCTTAGAGTCCAGTCAGTTGGAGAGGCATGCCTTGCCCACTCCAGCCATGATTTGAACACAAGTCTCAAGCCTGTGCGCCCAGCATCCAGGCCTGCCCGCCGGCTCGCGCTCGCTGCGCTGCACGTCTAAGTCGACCACTCCACGGGGAAGACGGGATGATTCCCTCCTGAACTGAATGAGGTCCCTATCAGCTAGGACCAGAGCTCAACCTCCAGCATCTGCCCTTGCTCTACAGAAATCGTCACCACGAACACCACACGGGGCCTAGCAGTGAGCCCCTGGCCCCCAGCTCCCACCCCTCCCCCTCCCCCACCACGCCCAAGAGCCCCCCTGACCCGCGCGTTCTCACAGGCGTGTCCGTTCTCCCGCCTGTCTCACCGCCCCCACCCCCAGCCCCTCCGCTGTCCATCCGCAAACCCTGTGGGCGCTGCCTTCACGGCACCCAGACCCGACCACTCACCGCTCGTCCCTCTGCAGTCCCTGCTGGTGGGGGGGAGCACTTGCCCCCACTATTCCTCCCCACCTTCTCACCATCACTTCCCCCAACCCGGCCCCTCTGGGACAGCCGGTCCCCTCCGACCCGGTCTCCCAGCCCTGCCCACAGCCTGTTCTCCCTATCGCCACCAGAGGGCGCCGGTGAGCACCACTGACGCCCTGCAGGTGCCCCTCCTTCTCTGGGAAATGCTACCCTCCACCTCCCTCCTCCTAGGGCAACACCCCTGCACCCGGCAGGAGACCCTGGGCCTCCTCTCCCTCCCCACGTGTGGTCACATCCTGGTCTTCACTCCCCTCCAGGGTTTCACGCCTCCAAACTTACTCTAGTAAGAACGGCGGCAGCAACAAGGCTCTGCTGTTTGTTGTGACTTGTCACTCAGACTGGGGTCTGTGCTGGGCCCTGGGCAAGATGGCTCTGCAATCCCACCCCTCCAGATTATGTGATCAAGCAGGGATTTGAACCCTGACCTTGTAGAACTCTGAGTGCTAACCCTAACTCTTCCCTGCTTGGTAACCCCCAGGGATGGGCACTCCCTCCCTCCCCAACGGCAGCCCGAGGGTGGTGAAGGAGGGGTTTGCAGGGAGCGAGTGCAGGCGTGTGCGAGCGGGTGCTGCTCCCACCGAGCCCAGGAGCGAGCGACGAGGTTAAGGGGATGGAAGCCATGAGGGGTGTCAGGTTAGAGCCACCATGCAAGGGGGCCCATCTTCTCGGGGAAGCTGGGCCAGCTTGTGACGGAGGTGCCAAAGCTGAGGGGGCACCCAGGCCCTGCCCAGGCTCAGAGCTGTGGCCTTGGTCTAGCCGCCACCCCCATAACCACAGCACTCACCAAGTGCTGCTGCACCCGACCTCACCCTGGCCTGCCAGGCCCCCCAGGGCTGCCACTCGGCCTAGGATGGTGGCTGGACACAGGTCCGAGCCCCAGGGCCAACCCACCTGCCTTCATCATGGTGGAGCCTTCGACCATCCTCATGGGGGTGTTGGAGATTCTCTTCTCTGCTCGGGGGCAAAGCATGGAAAGACAGAGGTCAGAGGAGAGATCACACAGTCTCCCCTACCCCCAGACTCCTGGACACTCCCAGACACGTGAAAATGACCCCCAGGCACCCAGATAACCCTCCCACACACCTGGCCAGATACCTGGCCTCTCCCCGTAAACATGCATACACCCAGACCCTCCACACAGGTGCGCATGCCCAGAACCCCCAGACACACACAGACTCCCTCCCTAAAAAGAAAACACACTCCAGCCCCACAGCCCATTCATTGCACATCTCTTGGTCCAAATGGTTTTCACAAGATCCCTGAGAGGCCTGCATGGATTTTTTCTTAATTATTAATTTTTAATTCCACAGTAAGACAAGCAGACACTCTCTCCTTGTGAATAATTAACACATGACAAATCAGGCCCAAGGCGCTCTGGCTGCCACCTCCAATCCTGGCTGGTGGCTCCCCTTCCATGCTTTAGACACAGAAATAGACATGTTTAGTATATATTTTAATATATAATTTATGCTGTAGAATTTTACATACTTAATAACTTAATATTACATTTAGTAAACTTATAACTAAATGTATATATTTAAATGTCATGTATACATAGGAAATACTTGCAAATGTGTATATTTATATACCTGCAATAAACTTATGAGGGGCGTAAAATGGGTCCCAGAGTTCAAACTTTGAGCTTTTTTCTTTGTTTCCTGGATGGTGGTCTTCCACGTCTGTGTGTGTGAGACCTTTGTCCTTTTAAATGGTGCAGGGTCTCCTGGACAGCCAGGACTATGATTTCTCACCCCCCACAGACCCCATCTTACAGATGTGAAAACCGAGGCCCACCCACCTGCCCAGGAGCTCAGAGCAGGTGGGTGTGGCTCCCTGGGGCGGGGGTGGGGGCATGCCACCTGGACCCAGAGCCTCAGGTTGGGGCTGAGCCCTCATCTGTAACGGATGCTGCAGAAACTCCATCCCAGGGATGTTGTGAAAATTACATGAAATGACCATGTTGGGCACTGGGCCAGGCTCAAAGCCGCTGAGGACAAGGACAGCCAGAACCATTGTGCTACTGTTTTACTTAATCAGCAACAGTAACACCTTGAAGGCACCCCCCTGGCCTGCCACCCCATCCCTGGCCACCAGAGGGCGCTGGGGCCTGGCCGCCCCTTCCAGACGACATACCTTTGGGTGTGCCCACCGGTGTCTGCAAGAAAGAAGGCAGAGGGGTCAGGAGTGGCGGAGGGTCCCCTCCGCGGGGGGCAGGAGCCTGGGGAGGGCCTGGCTCAGCGGTGATCCCATCACAGGCACCGTCTCCTCCTGGACCTACCCTCAACCCTGCTCTAGCCATTGACAGCCAGAAATGTCCCTGCGGCTCCCAGTATTCCCCAACACAAAGTCCAACCCTTCCTGGTGACCCCCAGGCCCTGGGTCAGCAGAGCCCTGCCCACTGGCCTCTCCCTCTGCCTCCCACCTCTGGCCTCTCTGGCCTCCTTGCTGTCCCAGGGCCTTTGTGTGCAATGTCCTTCCACTTGGAAGGCCCTTCCTGGGTTTCCGCTTGGCCAGCTCCTCGCTGAGCTCCCGGACCACCCAATCCTAATCAAAAGGTGGCTCCCCGCCCCCCATCCCGGGGCTGTTCCCCAGGTGACTGTGGTATTCGCCCTGTCAGTATCTGTCTCCTCACAGGAGGCGCGCATCACGAAGGAAAAGACCATGCCAGCCAGTCTGCGCTCAATCAGCCTCACTGGAAACCCCCTCTCACCTCAAGTCCCTGCCTGGAAAACTCCTGCTCAGCCTTCAAAACCTTCTCTGGGAAGGGCGCCCAGTCCTCCCATGAATCAGACACCTCACTGGGGACTCTACAGTGCCCTGTGCTCCCCCACAATAGGTCCAACTGCCTTCCTGTGTTGGTGTGGCCTGATACATCTGCATCTGCCTGCACAACCAAGGAGTCCAGGGCCCGGGTCTGTGTCCTCCTGGTCTGCCACAACCAAGCCGACACAAGAAATGAGGGCCAGTCTGCAGGCTCCAGAACGAGGCCCTCAAACAGCAGTTGGCGATGGACCAGGACAGAAGCAGGGATGCTAGCTTCCGTGGCCCTGCCCCAAGATGGGGTGGCATCTCCTGGCTGAAGCCCCTCCGGGGTTGGGACAGCGAGGATGGGTGAGGGGAGAGGAAGTGGGTCCCCCAGGCCCTCTGAGTCCCAAAGACAACAAAGGGGGTTGGGAGCCTCCAGAATTTGTGTTAACATGCTGTGGTGGACATGTGCTCTGGGTCTAGAGTTTTAGGGTCTGGTTTCAACAGAGCCTGGTACACACGCCAGACCCCAGAATCCATGGCTGAGCCCAAGAAAGACCGTTCTTCAGCTGTGTGGCCTTAAGACAGTCTCTCAACCTCTCTGGGCCTCAGTTTTTGTCTTCCACCAAATGGGAACGCTGCTCCCACCTGAGCAGGGCGTCCTGAGGATTAGACAGATGACACCTGTTGTGCTCGAGGAACATAAGGATGACAAGCAGGTGGTATTCGGGGAAAACTCTCTACCAGTGAAGCGCTGCCATCTACTGACTGACTTACTTCCGTGACACCCCCCCACCGAGGGCGGGGAAACAGGCCCAGGGAGGCAAAGCACCGTGCACAGGGCACACGGCAGGGAGGTGGCCAGGCTGGGATTCAAAGGCTTTAACATCTGCTAGAGCCACTGGCCACAGCCACAGGGAGGCGCTGGAACATCTCTGGGGCGGGGCCAGCAGGATGGCACCCCTGGAACCATCACCTCTTACCTGCTGAGAATTCAGCACCACCTCTGCCTTCTGGTCCTCCTGGGTGGGGGGCGGGGCCGGGGCCGGGGCGCGGGCTGGGCTTGGGGCTGCTGTGCCCTCCTTGGTGGCAGGCAGCACATCGGGGTTCTCCAGCTCCTCAATCTCCTTCTCCAGCCTGGGAAGGGTGCAGGAGGTAAGGCCCCCTGGACTTGGGATGTTCACTAAAAAGCCCCGGGGGCTGCCTCACTCCTGCTCATGTGTAGGGAAACAGGCATGACAGAGAATGTGGGCAGCCAGCAAGGGCCAGAGGCGGGGCCTGAACCTGGGCCGGCGGGTCCATGGGTCCCTTCCCTGGGGCTGGGGTTCACCCCTCTGTTTGCTGCCAAGAGATTCTCCTTTTTTTCCACTCAGATACATTTATCTTTACAGGAGGTTTTATCTCTCCAGGGAAACTGAAAAGATCACTTCACTTTCCAAGTATTGGAAGATAACGGTGCCCGTACACCCAGTGAAAACAAAACTGGCATATTCACTCCCACCGAGGTATCACCGGCCTGAGGCTTTGGGCTGCAGGTGTTAAAGGCACTCAGCCTGGGGGTGAGGGGGGCATTCTCTCTGGAGGCTCAGGACAGACTGAGGGGAGTGAGTCTGCCGCCCCTAACACAGTGAGCCCAGATTAGCAAGATGGATACAGCAGGGTCAGCCTGGTGGGCCTCCTGGAGGAGGCGTCCAGGCCGGAACACTGAGCGGGCAAAATGCAGGTAATGGAATCACCTGAGGAATGGGTTGCCCCAACAGGAAGAAAGCCAAGGCCCCCAGAAGCCAGCCATCCAGTAGGGCTTATGGGAGACCCTCCCCCTGCCCAGGGAGGCACCCAGCAGGTGGGATGGCCAGGAGCCCACCTTGTCCCAGCCCCGGTGGCTGGTCACTCCCACCGACCTTCCATCCCACCTGCCAGTGCCCCTCTGCCTGGTCAGTCCCTGCTGTCTTTCCCAGATCCAGCGCAGCCCCATCTCCTTCCAGGCGCACAGGTCACCGATGGGGAAGCTGAGGCCAAGGTGGGGACGCCAGCTGCCAGTCCCCAACTGTTTCCCAGACCAGACACATCTGGATGGGATCTGAAGGTGCCTACGGTGGGGCCTAGGGCTGGCACACATCTCTGGGCCTCCCTGGCCCAGCGGACGTTTGGAAATTTGGCTGTCACTTCCCTCACCCCGCGGCCCCAGGACTGAGCCTGGGCCTCCCGCCTGCCCACCTGCGTGCTTGGAAACTGCTCTGGGCCTTTTGTCCCAGCCCAGGGAAGTGGGATGATCACTTTCCCCAGCCTGCCCCCTCCCCCCGGCTTCCTGCAGGCCCAGCTGCCTGGGCCTCCGTGGCCTCCATGGCCTCCATTAGAGCCAGGAAGAGCCAGCTGGGCTGGCGCCAGGAAGCCCCCAGGGAGGCAGGCAGCTCCCATCCTCAGAGACGCGAGAGACGGGAGACCCGCCCGAACTGTGCATCCCTCTCACACCTGCTCTGCTGGGCAGCGAGGGGAGGAGGGGACGCACGCAGCCCCTGGAGCCCGGGTGGGGGGGCCTGCCCCCACCACGTGTTCCCCGAGCACTGAGGGTCTCCCGCCTCGGCCCAGCCCAAGCACCCGGCAGGGGGCAGGTCCCGCAGCCCCGCCCACCTGGAGATGGAGCCCTCAAGGAACCGTGCCTTCTGCTCATCCTCCTGCATCTGCCTCCTCATGTCCTCGTCCCCCTCAGAGGCGGAGGACGGTGTCCCCTCCAGCAGCCAGCGTTCCCGCAGCGCCTTGGACTGGGGCAGCAGGAGTCAAGGTGAAAGTCAGGGGCACAGTCGGGGTCAGAGCAAGGTTGGGGCCCGGGGTCAGGGTCACCCCAGCCTTCCTGCTCCCCCAAACCCCTGTATCGAGCTGAGGCCCGGGGTCCCTGGGCACTGCCGTCCCCCCCAAGCCCAGACCGGCTTTGCGAGGGGCACGCCTGCCCCGTACCTTCAGGTGCTGCAGCTGCCGCCGGTCGTCCTCCAGCTGCCGGCGCCTGCTCTCGATCTCTGCCTGCCTCCTCCGCTTCTCCTGACCGGGCGGCACGGGGGCTCAGGGCGGCATGGGCCGTGGAGCCCCCGCCCCGTCTCCGCCCCACCTCCACTGCCCAGGCCTGTGCCCAGGAGGACTTCGCTTTTTCTGTCAATGGCGGCCACGTGACTCCCGGGGCCCCCACCTGCCCTCCAGCCTCAGTCTCCCCACTGCAGGTGGGCTGTGCTGGGGGTCAAAGAGGACTTTTGGGCTAAGCATCCACACTCTGAGGACTAAGGGGTCTCTGCATTTCCGTTTTGTGGTAAAGGCCTGCAGGCACTCAAGTTTCCCTCACCACACCCTGGTTCTGAGTACCTGGGGCCCCAGGTTGGGTGTGGGGAGCCCCTGAGAACCCAGGTTTCCCCAGCCTCCCCGCACTGGCCACACTGTCTCAGGGACTGGGGAGAACTCACTGCAATGGCCTGGAGCCGCTCCTGCTGGGATGTTGTCTCTGCCGCCAGGACCCTGAGGGGACAGAGAAGGTCAGGCCGAGGGTCCAACCTACCCCTGCTTTCGGCAGATCTGGTTTGAATCTCCACCTTTGTCTTTGAGCTGGGTGAACTCCTCAGTTTCCCTTCTGTCAGGTGGGACCCTTCCCCGCCACCTCAGAGGCAGCACCAGTCTCTCCATCCATCCAATCTCATTAATTCTCCTGATAAATCTTCCCAATAAATCCGGGAGAGGGCAAGAGACAGGAGAGGTGAGGCTCCACCTAGAGACCCGAGAAGTGTTTGGGGAGGAAAGAGCACTGGAGGCTGGGCTCTGAAGGATGCATAGGAGTTCCCCATGAATCAAAGCCTGGAGAAGAGTGTCTCAGGAAGAGCTGCATCACCTTTCTGCCCAGATGGAGAGACCGATCAAGACAGACCCCTCCTCAGCCTCCCACCAAGCATTCTCCAGCCCTGGGAAGGACACTTGGAGGAGGAAGGACCCACCAGCCCCACCTCCCAACCCTTGAAATTCAAACCCAGACTCCCTTTCTCACCCAGTCAATGTCTTTTGAGAGCCCATGTAAGGCAGTTCAGCCTTAAGCTGGCATGCAGTAGGAGCGGGGTAAATGTCAGTATTGCCAGGTGCGCTTAAAGGGACAGGGCTTCATGCTGTGAGGATCTGGGGCCTTCCAGTGGGGCACAGGGGCCAGCAGGGGGTCCAGGACCTGGAGGATGAGTCATCTCGGCCCCTCCCCCCTCTCCTGCACCCCCTCTCCACCTGGGCCCTCCCTTCCTGGTCGCTGGTGGGTCCCTGGAGCTGCACACAGTAGGTGTAGAGTGAAATGCTCCCGCCAATCAAGCCTGGAACAGTCTTTGCAATGGGCTTAATAGTCACCTCATGGCTCCAGGGCCTCTGTGACAATGCAAAAATGGGGGGAGGGCAGGGTTCCTGAGCCCAAGTGGGGGGCTTCCAGATTGCCTGCCTCAAATCCCAGTGATCACAGGGCCACTCTGGGAGGCGCTGATGGGAGGCCTAGTCTCATGGGGTGGGGGGGGAGCTAGACCCTCCCACCTGCCCCAAGCCCCTTATCTTCACAGGGACTGAAATCACACTGTCCTTTGGACCCCGCCCACCCCTCGGCCTCGTCTCAGGGTCTGGAGCCACCCCAGGGCCTCCAAAGACCCTCTGCCCTCCTTGGCCTCAGTTCCCCATCTGCACACCCCACCTGCACACCCCATCTAAACCCTCCCTGTTATGCCCTCCTCCTGCTGTGGGTCAGAAGTGAAGTAGGCCCAAAGTTACATACTGTGTCTACCCCAACCCAAGCCCCTGCCCTGCCAGGCAGCTGCTCAGTGGACATCTATCCTGTGGCTGCAGTGCCCCATCCGTCCGCCCCACTCAGGTTCAGTTTCCTGGCCTCGCTGAGGCCTGTGAAGTCATCTGGCTCCCATGCCCCAGCGAGGCGACCCCACCCAGCACCTCCTTTCCTGTCAGGAGGCACCTGCCCCTCTGTGCCTCCCAGGGGCCCAACAGTATCAGCCACACCCTCTGCAGCTTCCCCTTCTCCTTCCTCAGGGAAGCTAGCTAGGTTCAGCTGGGTGGAGTTCAAGAAAGGCTTGATCCAGCTAGATGGCTCAGCTGCCCTTCCTAAAGGGCCAGATCAGCTGGATTTCTGGGTCTGCCCAGTCACCCTGGGTGACTTGGGCAGGAGGCCAGCCCCTGTGTTCCCCACATCAGCCCATCCCCTCTCTTCTTGAAAACCCCACCTGTCTCACCTCATCCTAGGCCTCTACCATTACTCACCACCACCCTGTCCCCTGACAGCCCACGACCAGAGGCAGCTTCTCAAAACAAGAATCTGAACCAGTCACTCTCTGGCTCTCAAGCCCCCCTGGCCCCCATCACCCCTTGAAAGAAGCCACAAGGCCAGGGTTGCCCAGCCCCCATCCACTTCTCTGCCCTGGTGCCCTCGGCTCTTCCTCTTGTTCACTCTGTTCCAGCCACCAGGACCTCCGGGCTGTGCCCAAACTGCACAAAACTCACTCCTACCTCAGGGCCTTTGCACTTGTTCCCTCGGCCTGATATGCTCTTCCCATAGCTGGAAACTAAGGCCCAGAGAGGATGAGTCACTTGTCTTAAGTCACATAGGTAGAAAGTAGCAGAGCTGGGATTTCTGCCCAGCTCCAGGCCATACCACATTCTCCCGCTCTAGCGTGGCCTCCAGGGACCCACCCAGGAAGGAGGCAGAGTTGGGGGAGGGGGCAGAACAGCTGAGACCCCAGTGCAAACAGGGCCACGGCAGGCAGAAGGACCAAGCCACCTAATGTCGGGTCCCCATTCCGGCGGCCAGGTGGCCGTTCAGGCTAGACACGGGGACATAGGGATGGCGGTGAGGTCAGCTCGGCAGGCTTGGAGACAAGGAGGGCAGTGTCCTCGCGGGGGCCGCCAGTCCCTGCTGGGCCAAGCCAGGGCAGAGGAAGGTCAGGCGGGCACAGCGAGGTGAGGGCCGGCTCAGGAAGAGAACATCCATCCCTTTCCACCGGTGATGCTGTCACAGCCTGAGGGGCTCAGGCTGTGTGTCTCCCTCACATACCCCTCCCCGGGCCTGGGGGCGCCAGAGCCATAGCACCCGGCCCCGCCCCGGGCGGGCGCAGCAGCCGCGGGTGATGGATGGCGGGGCCCGCGGGAGGCGGTTGCCCTGGTAACCGCGCCATCTCCATGGCAACGCCGAGGCCCAGCGGGCGCGCGGGGGTGGGACTGGCGCCGAGCATCTCCCGCCCCCGGCCCAGCGCTGGGGGGCTGAGGGGCTGAGGGGATTCCTGCCCTAGGCCTCAGGGGCTGCCTAAATAGGGTGGGATTTGGTTGGGTAATGGGGTCTACCCCACCCCCACTGCAGGGGAGGGGGATCCCCTTTCTGGTTTCAGGACCGCGCCCAGGGAGGGGCTTCTATCCAGGAAGGGTCTGGACCCACCCTTGGCGCCAGGCAGCCAAGGTCAAGCCAAGATAAAGCTCAACATCATAAATCCGAAAATAAAACAAAATAGGACGATGGAGCCCTAATAAAACAGTGATACAATAGGAACATCCTCTCCAGAGCTCACCATCTTCTGCGGGCAGGGCTCACCCTCACTTTACAGAAGGGGAAACTGAGTCAGGGGAGGAGCGAGGCCTGTAAATATTCGCTAAGCCTCCAACCTCCTGAAGGTCCTGTGAGGCACGTGGGATGATTATGGCCGTTTTATCAATGAATGAACTGAAGCATCAGAACGGTGGAGCGGGGACCTGGACCCAGGCAGGCTCCGGAGCGCACTGAGTGCAGGGTCTCCCGGAGGTCTGGCGGGGGGCAGGGCGCAGCAGGGGCTGGAGGGTGCAGGATGGTGAACAGGATGGTGGAGACTCTCACTTCCGCTCAGGGAAGCAGGGCCAGATTACAGAAGATCTTAGAAGCTGGGCAGAGAAGCTGAGTTTTGGCTAAAACGCACTGGGGAGGGGTTAGAGCGGCGGGGCAGTTTTCCCCGCTGGCTGTGTGACCCGGGCAAGTCACTTGCGTCTCTGAGCCCTCCCTTGGCTCCGCTGCGCGATGGGCCACAGCTCGCAGCTGCTGGTGGAGAGACTTGCCCTCCGCCAGGACGCCCACCTTCTGCGCGCAGGCGTCTGGTTCTTGCGCGGTTATTTTTTACGGCACATGGAGCAAATTCTGGGCTCCAGCCGCCTTGTGGGCGGCTCGAGGGCGTCGGCTTCGAGCGCGTGAGATAATCCGGCTCCAGGAGATGAGCTAATGAGACCCAAACCCAGCAAGGCCTCAGCTTTGCGGGCATTTATGTTTTAAAGGCCCAGAGAGGTTATGCAACTGGCCCAAGGTCACCCAGCGGGCAGGAGGGGCAGGAAGGGGCCGGAGCGGGAGGTGGGAGGCGGGTGGGGGTGTTGCGCTTGTCTTTCCAGAGTCCAGGCCCTGCTGGGGCAGCTCCAGCCGGAATGAGGGGGTCCCGGCCCAGGCAGGCGCACAGCCCAGAGCTGGAACATTCCTGCACTAATTGAAAGGAAACAGCTGACAACGACCTTGGCCACGGCTGTGTGTAGGGGGAGGCAGAGTCACACGGGGCGGGGGGAGGGGGAGGTGAGAGGGAGCCCAGGGGCCCCTTCCCTCATTGGATGGAGGCTGGAGTCGGGGGAGGCTGGTTTCCAGCTCCCTGCGGGGACTTTGTCCCTCCTGACCCACCAGCACCTTCCCCCTCCAGACACTTCCTCTACCTCTCAGCCCACCACAGAAGCCCCAGGGGCTTGCCCCTCACCCTTCATCAGTTTCTTGCCTTCCCCTTTCTTTCCTCCACCTCCAGGCTCAGCTCAAACACAGCTGCCTCTTCCAGGAAGCCTTCCTGGGTCTCCTCTCCTCATCAGGAAGGAATTACTCCTTCTCAAAGCCCCTCAGCACTCAGCACAGGTGAGCCTCTAGGATTACTACTGTTACTGGTGAGGTAAGCAGCCCATGAGACATGGACTTTCTAGAAGGTTCAAAGCTGAGAGATGTCACCCCCATGGTGGAGACCGAGAGAGCAGGCCACAGACCCGAGAGAGCAGGCCACAGACCCAAGAGAGCAAAACTGTTGTCCATTAACCTGGGATGGGGAGGGGAGGAGCTGGCCCTGCCCTGGGCCTTCTCTGGCTTTAGCTGCAGAGACCAGCCCCAGACACCCACTGTCCTTCCCCACCCCTCACTCTGCTCCAGCCACCTCAAACATCCCAGCGCCATGCCACCTCGGAGCCTTTGCACTGACTGTGTTCCCTGCCTGGTGCACTCTCTTCCAGGTCTCCACGGGCTCACTAACTCCCTCAGGCCTGTCTTCAGATATCACCTCTTCACTCAGGCCTCCTCTGACCCCCCCCAATTAGCCTCAGCACCTCCATGCCCTCCATCCCCACCCCTGCCAGCCTTCACCACCAGGAAACACCTGATCATGTTACTTATTTTGTTTATTTCCCCTTGAGGACAGTAACGGTCTCTTTTTGTTCCTGCCATGTCCCCCACACTAGGT